TTTATCATTAAATAAATCCTTTACTCTGTACAATACTGGAACGGATTTGACAATTTTTTGTTCAAATAAACGATGTAAGATCAGAATTAAGTAATGTCACTGACACATTATTAGCTTGTACACAACCCATCACAGCTGCACGCTGTTAGAAAATATATATATTTTTTGGACAAGTCACCTCCCAATAAATGTCATTTTGTAAAATCTAACTGCTCAGTACTTTTACTCAGTACTTTTAATACCTAAGTCGATTTCGTGTCGGAAATTTACTTTTGATTTTTAAGTACAAAAATAGCAGATACTTTAAGATTTTTACTCAAGTAATATTTTTAGAGAAGACTTTAACTTTTACCAAAGTATTCTTATGATACAATACTTGTACTTTTACTCAAGTATCGCTTTCAGGTACTTTATACAACACTCATTATTAAAACTTATGTGCAAAAAATGTGATTAGTCAAAACACAAAGAAAATGGTATTTCCTGTATGTGTGACGTGATCACGCAAAGATTGTACGACATCCGCTCACGGTACGAGGCTCCTCCTGGAAAATCTTGTGGAATAGCCACCAGCTAGCTTTTTTCCCCTTCATCTTTCTCTTTTTAACCCGTTCGTTCGCTGGAGGTAGGCAGGCTTATCTCTGCAGTGTAAATAAAAATTAATAGCACATTATCACTGAGCTCTGGATGTTAACGAACATCTCTGAACGAGAAGCCGAACAGCAACCGGTTTCTGCATCTAGCAGCTAACATTAGCTTTCATTTATCACTTCCCCGGTGCCCTGCGATGCCCCGACTTATTTATCATTTTGATATCTTCAACAACATGTCAGGGATCTAAGTTTCCCTGTGAAGTTTTTAAACCAGGTGTTTTTGTTTTAATCGAAAATGAAGTCCCCACAGGCTCCCGGTATTCGACTAATAACGAGTTTTTCCCGGGATAGCTGGTATGTTGTACTCCATATTGTTCAGAATGTAAATTGAGCTGTTGTAAGCCTGTGTACAGCTCTGGTATCCACCABCCCACTGTTCTTAACCAGGCTTCTGTTCTCATGAATGTGCTCCCTCAGGATTTGTCCGATACTCAACAAGGTAACATCTCCGTTCCACCAGTCATCATCACCTGTTTTGGTTTCTCTGGATGAAAGTTGGAATCAAGAGACCCCTGTTGGTCAGACAGCCAAGGACGGTTTCCTCAAAAAGCACTAGAAAACAATGAGTAAATTATGATTTACAGCTTTGCGAATTACACGTTTTTCAGTTTATGAAAAATAGTAGCAAAAATTACTAAACACTGTTCACTTATATACAATGTACACACACACACACGCACACACACACAAACACACATATTAAATGAAAATAAGC